CTTATTTACCAATTTTTATAAACAACTATAATACTTGTGCAGAGCTCTATAATTTATAAAAATAAATTGTAAATGCTTGAATCTTAGACGAACTCTGTATTTCAGATTCGTATCTGAATCATAAATAAACTTTAATTATACTTTGATTGATCAGATTGTATGAATTTATCATATCCCAATAAAAAGAGCAACCGGTTAGATCGATTTTAAATTTAGAATCAGTGTCTTATCACTGAAGGCTAACTACATTTTTAACAAAACATAAATTTATACATATGCATATTTATGTATATAATACATGTTTTTGTTGTTTCAAATTCCTGAAATATTAGAAACAATTTTCTTGTTTTTCTACACATATTGGAAGCATATGAGTAATAAGTAAGGATTACTTCAAGTCAACTTATCCTTTCCTTACTAATCCAAAAATATAACAATCTTTAATAGTATTCTTTAAATATAATTAGTTTTGACACTAACATTAGCATTAACGGCAAATCAAATTTGCAGTAGCTCTCTATTAACAACAGAGCTCTGTTATTTACTTTTCAGTAATCCTTTTCATTTTAAATGCATACATACATATGTTAGCTACCATTGAAATTTGAATGTGCAGTGCAATTAACAGTGCTGTAAGCTAGAAATGACCCCATTAACAGAGCTATGCAAATCTGTGTCCTTGCATATCAATACATATTTATGCTACCATTGAAAATTAATTTTGAAATGCAATTAGCAGAGCTATGTTAGCTGTTAACAACTACTATTAACAGAGCTCTGTTATACACCACTATGTCCTTGCTTATTCAAATCATGTTAGCTACTGCTGCAAATTGAATTTGCACTGCAATTAACAGTGCTCTGTTAACTGCTAACGGCCGCTGTTAACAGCGCTCTGCCGGCGTCGCACGTCGACGCTTTGCGGCTGCGCAGCTCGAAAAACGTGTTGTTGCCTTATGGCTGACGTCTGACTGGTGCCCCGTTCAGCAATGGGCCAGCAGCGCCTGGTCTACGCTTTTTGGCCACAAACGCGAATTCAGTGCAACGGCAACTCTTGAACGGTAATGTTGGCTTAGCGGTTTCCATCCACATTGCTGGAACAATTGCTGGTTAATTTGTACGCGAGATGAAATCAAAACTGAAATGATTAACGGCAAATTTGAATGAGATTTATTTTTCTGAGCAAACATTGAATGCCCTCAATGATTAAACATTTTTGTTTTGTTTTTGCTTTTTTTTTTTGAGTTGTGTGTTAATCCAAAAGAAGAAACTAAATTATTACAATCAACCACTCAATGCGAAAGTGTTTTTGAATTCAATAATGAAAAATGAAATGAAATGAAATGAATGTGCGGAATTGTGGTAAAAGCAACGCCTGCCGAAAGTGAAAAACTAAATGCGCAGACGTGTGTAACAGTTTTTGTTTTCGATCTGGTTTTCATTGTTTGTTGCATTTGTTGCTTTTGCTTTTACTGTTGTTGTTGTTGTTGCTGCTGCTGCTGCCGCCTTAACGCTGGGCAGCAGAGCATAAACGATCGCAGATCTGCGCAGGCGCCGCCGATTGCACAAAGCTTTTCTGCAGCAGCCAAAAACCACCAACAACCACAACCACCATAACAACAACAACAACTACAATTGTAACAACAATAACTTACCTGACCCAATTTTCACATATATGCATTTTGTTTTTGTTTCTGAATTTCACAAACATTTTCGCAAATTTTTGGAAAAATTTAAACAAATAATTCAAATTGATAATTGATAAATGAAGAAAACGTTTTAGCTGGTATCGCCGCCAAATAAGAAGGCCAGCCCGTTGACTGCGTTTAGCTGCAACAATCAACAAGCAATAACAGTTACAACATAAGCGAAGTGCTCAAAATCGGTACAAACACACACACACACACACATTCGACTGCATACGAACAACCACACTCAAAAGTTGGCCATAAACGCCTCGCCGCCAAAATGCTTCCGGTAAGTTTTGCAAACTTTGTTTGGCATAAAAAAAAAAAAATGAAAAAAGCAGAAACAAATTCACTTTTGCTCATTTCGTCTTTCGTCATGTCTTGAAAACTTGTTGCTTGTTGCGTTTAGCAACATTCCAGCAGCATTCGAGTCTCGCTGATTATATGATTCGACAGGATAAACGCCTCGGCTCGAGCAACCTTGAAAGTGCGCCGCCAGGCGAAAGTTGTCGCCGCTTGGCCCATCCCAAGGGCAGAGCTGCAGCAGCATTGCTCAGTCACTCATACCTATACACATATATATGTATATATATGTACATATGTGCATATGTCTGCCTCTCTGTGAGTTGACTGCTCAAGGAAGTCGTTGCCGCCACTTGATATATTCACCACGCACTTCCACATATCTATTCGGTATATCGCAACTCGTATATCTCTAGCCCAAAATACAAAAGTACAGAAAACAAGCCGAAGTATAAAAATAACTATCAAAAGTTCTACAACAGGTTTTCTGTAGACCCCATCTTCTCGCGTATCTCTGAGTTCTGTTAATTTGTGATTTCGTTTTCATTTTGCATTAATTTGCGTTGCTTAACTTTTTGGTCGAAAGAATTTTGCGCTTTGATTGCATAATTAATCGCTCGAGGCGAAGAGCCAAAGCTAAGCTGCCCACAAATGGATACATTCGACTCTATTTTGTTATTATTTACGTCCATATATAATAATTTAAACATATATTAGTTAAGCAGCTTATTTGCGCAGCTTTACCAAAACTCTGCTGAATCCATTCCGTTTAGCCACATATCATTATATATGACTCAATCAAGTTCTGTTTAATGTCTGGCTAGTAATAGGGGTCAGAGCTATACCAAATGAATACATATAATTATTATTAGATTAATGATTATTATTATTAGAATATATATGACTTACGATTTTGTAGCTTAGAGGATCATTACGTTCATATAGGACAATCCGACGTACGAATAATAGTATAATCATTACGAATGATAAACTTTATATTTCAATAATATATACCCAAGGAGATAACTAACATTTACACAAGCAGATGAAAGGTTAGCCCAACTTGTATAACGAAAAATCTAACTATGCTTCACCAAAATACTTTATTGTGTTGACCAAGTACTTTGAAGAAGTATCTAGAAGCAACAAGTACTTGCAACGTGTGAAAGTGGCCTTTCCACACTTCCCCAAGTCAGTCTCAAAAGAGGTCGAAAAGGTACTTACAGATACTACACGTGTGAGGGCAGCTGGGCTGGAGCCCACTCTCTCACCTTAACTTACGCCTCTGCCTCGGCAAGTCTTCTCAACCAAATTCTAGTGTTCATGCCATAAGCCTGACCTGATAGAGCTATTGCCGAACAATATCTGGTGCTGTATTAATAGTCCTGTTGATCTGTTTAATTATTGCTTTGATAGCTGTCATTTTTATTGTGTTGTGAATATCACGAGAGCTGGAGACAGACGCAGACCTGCTCAAGATTATCTGCACTGAAACTCAGCAAGTCAACACAGACGGCAAGATCATGACATCATAGATCTATCAAGGCACGAGGGAAAAGAGTTCGCTGAGATGAGATGAGATGCGTTTTGAGATAAAACTGAATGGGCTGAATAGCTTAAATAGAGTGAAAAGTGAATCATGCACATAAATAAATAAGTAATAAATGAGAAATAAGAAATAGATATGTATCTAATTAAAGACAATACTATAAAGATATTTCCGTATCTTCGCCTGTTTGTTAGTCGATTTCAATGCGAACCAGACTTTCAGGTTTTAGGTTATAGTTAACCGTTAGCCGTATTGAAAGTCGATATCGTATCGGAACCATCGGTTAATTGAAACTATTGAAGCGTGCAATAGCTTCGTTCACATACCGTTAGATTGCTCGGCCCTTAGATCTGTCTCTCTGCATCTATCGCATCATTGGCTGCGTATCTCAGGTGGCTTTGCGACACTCAAATTTATTTATAACTTTGCTTTAACGGATTTGAATTTCGGCATGTGTGGGCGAAACGCGGAATTCCCCCGAGTCATCAGTCATCGCCTATCTCTGGCTCTGTTGTCTTTTATCATCGCTTCCTTTTGGCATTCATTTGGCGTTATATTTCTTATATAAACAAGTCTTAATTAAATTTCTCTGTTTCACATGGGCCCATAAATTATAAATACTAATTAGATACGATCTACCAATTGGCTCTTACTCTGCTCCTAGCCACGCTCAAGTTTATGTGCTAGAAACTAAGTAACTTCGGCTGAATACTGTCGGACTGGGAAAGACAGGTCTCGTTTCATGTTCTTCTCTATCTCCCTCGGACGTCTTCACTTGTTTGTTACAGTTCCGATTGGGAATATACATATATCATTATGTATCTCGCATTGATTACTTTCGCTGCCCAGCATTTGCGGCTTATATAATGGCCGTCGCATGGCTTTGTTTAGGCAAAGCAACGCATTTCCCCATTAACACCTATTAAAAACTTTCGAACACGATTCCTACTCAAAAATCAAATTGAATTTGCCGTAATTATCTGCATCTGTATCTGTATCTCGTACCGAGCAGCCTAGCGTGCATATTAAAGATTTTTGCCAACAACAAAATCTCTGAGAAGCAAATATCAAAAGCATGCAATGCATACCAGCAAATAGTATATACATACATATGTACATATACAGGTATATTTGTATATATTTACTTTTACTTTATTTACGTTCGATTTCGTTTTCGTTGACGATTTTTTGATAGTTTTCTTTCACATCCGCCTTGTGCGTATGCGTATGTGTATGCGTATGCGTATGCGTATGCGATTGGCCATCACATCTGGTGCCAGATGCTATTGATGGCCCATCGACGACCATTCACGGACCTTTAACTGTCATGCAAATTTTTGGTTGCGCATTTACACAAATAGTAATAACAACAACAGTAGCAGAGGCAGCTCGATGAAGAAGAAGAAGAAGAAGAAGAAGGAGAAGATCGTAACTGCGCATGCGCATGCGCAAAACGATCGAACTAAACTTGTTTCACTTTTCTGTTTGTTTTTTCTCTATTTATTTCGATTCGTATACGCTGGGTATACAAATATTTTCGGACAAGATTTCGGCTTTTGGGGCGGGGGCGAAACAAGTTTATTGCGACAAGTGTCAAAGACTGAATAGCTCTGCTCATCATTGCTGCGCCGCTTGATGTCAGCTCTGAAATATGCGCATGACATACGTAAACATCTGTGCATATGGATGGGTGTATGCATGTATGTGTGTATCTATAGCGACCTCAACAAGACGGAAACGATGCACCTTCAAGTGCTGCCCATCCCTCGCCAGTTTTCCGACTGACTGCGGGCGTCAGAAAGCATTTGCAGCACGGCAACACTGCCAACGCTACCTTTCTATACAATATATTAAATATTGCAAGTTGCAAGTGTTCTCGACACTAAAGTCTCTCCCTCTCACTCACTCTCTGATGCACAGCCTCTTAGCTTGTGGCGTTGATTTGGAATTTTGAATCGCACGCGCTTCTATCTTCACGTTGATTTGCGAAGCTTGGCTGGCGGGCTGACGAGCTGGCGGGCTGGCTGGCTGGCAGTCTTGTGCTGATTGTCTTACCGGTTTGCCAATTAAGCCACGTTGCTGAAACGGCAACAAAGTGCCTTTTAGCAGTGAGCAAATCCATTGCTGCATCCGCGGCCCGTAATGTATCTTCCAGAGACAACATTGTTCAGGCCACGGAGAGCGGCGTCGTTACGTATGCAGCACGGCGCTTGCTGCCTTCAGATGCAGACATGCTCCAGATACTGCTTAGATGTGACTCGATTTCAGCACTCGGGACCTGGGCCCGCATATTATTTACCCTTTTGCCAGAGCCGAGAGCCACACACACACATCTCTAGCTATGTATGTGTGTAGTTGCAGAGGTTTGCATAGCATTTAGTGCAAACCAGTTGCGCGACTTGGGCTTGTGACAAAAACTTGGCGTTTATCTTTGAAGAGTCTGGCGAAGAGTGAAGCAGTAAAATATATCATTGCTACATTATTGACAATTACGGGACTTATACTCGCTCGAGAAGGGAAGAGGGTATATTGGTTTTGTGCCATGATATTTGGTTTATTTACTCAACTTGGCAAACGATGATCAAAAATTCATATTCATTTCATTTTATTTATTACACTCTTTCTTACACTACAATCTTTTGGGAATAGTAGTGGAAATACAAAAGATAAGAGTGTGGATTACTTTCAGATTCATTCATGTTGAGGACAAATATACTGTTTTTTTTTTCCTAGTTGTATAGTTGTTCATGTTAGTTTGCTGTAGAGCAATTCAATACAATCGGACCTACCCAAAGGCCTCCTCTTCAGGCTTATCGCAATGATTCAATTGCGAGCGAGTATTATGCAGCCGCTAGCCCAACTGAAATATTCTTGCCTCTTCGAGTTACTTTTACATATAAATATGTCAGATGATTCAAGCGAATTTACATCCAAGATGCCGTGGTGGCCTTGTTCGTCTTACGTCTTTGATTTATAAATAAAATTGCGATCCATACTAAGTTGCCAAAGTGAGCAAGTATGTTTAGCTGTCCGCTTTATGGCTGGTTTGCAAATATTTCATTATGTTTTTATTGTATTGTCACAAGACAACTGTCATTGCTGATCGATCATCTTAAGATATTGTATAACCTTGCCTGAGCGCAGTAATCACAATGCTTTGATTTTTGTGCTCTGCTCTGCTCATAAGCTAATAAATAATTCATAGTGATTCACCGATCAGTGTTAGCCATTAAGCCATCTACTCCGTAGCTGTGCGGGCATTCAGTCCAACTTTTCCTTTCTTTCTTGCAGCAAAGAGCAGTGAAAAACATGTAGAGCTCCCCCTAGACCACTCCACTATATAAGCTGTTTATGATTTATGCATGTCTTCTGGCTTTTCATGTGGGCCTTAACCAGCTTTCTCCCACACTCAGACGCACAGTCTCTCGCAGATTGCA